GTTCACAGATGATTTAAGAAATACGTTTTTACACACAGTTGTTTCCATTGGCAAGAAACTGGGTACATAAGTCAGGAAGAAATGAGTGAGAAGGATGTTACTAGTTCCTTGCTGAACAGGTTGTGTATTAAAACATGTCAAGCTAAAATAGTCGAGAGATTTAAAGCGTCACAAATGTTAAAACCCTCTACCAAAATACTGACAAACACTCGTTTGTAAGTTCCCTCCGTATGAAATTATGTCTTCTAAAATTTTATTTAAATGAGACCACTTCCCTTAGTACACTTCTGCTTAATCCTTCCTTTTTTATTCAGTCACTATAGATCTAAATCCATCTATACCTTGTATCCCTGACATTTAATTGCTAGTGATCCCACTATATGATTACTCTGTCTATGCTTTGTTTTTTTTTTACCTCTTGAAGATGATATTAACTAATTGTGTCCATTAAGGATAAAGCTTCTTGCCAATACCATAGAGATAGTTTTAGGAACATGAAGTCTTAGAATATCATTAACTAAAGAGGACATGGTTTTTGTTTTTTACAGAAAGGCTCCATTTGCATCAATAAGAAAATAATAAGCTGTTATCAGGAGTATCTATATCATTTGACATTACAAAGGTGTATGGTTTGAAATGCTTTCTATATACCCATGTGTTCAAACCTTGGTACCCAGCTTGTGCTTCTATTTGGGGATGTTCTGGAAGCCTAAGTAGATAAGAACCCTCATCAGTTAGGACAGGTCCTTGAAGGTATGTATGCTTGGTAAATTTCTGTGTATTTCTCTACTTCCTGTCCATCATGAAACTCCTCTACCTTAAGATCCTGCCATCATGACATTGTGACCAAGTACACGAAACAGGTGATCGTGGGCTGAAATAAGTGATGATTACTTTAAGTTATTTCTGTTTGATGTTTATTCACAGCAACAAAAATCAGAGTTGATGATTGGCACCAGAGATTTGGGGTTGTTGCTGTTTGATTCTTAGAACAAAGGAGGGATAGAAAGGTAGGAAAAATCTTGAGGACAAGAGAAGGGAGAAAGAAACCTCTTACCATGGAAATTTTGACATGACCCGGCATGTCTCAGCTCCAAGCCACAACATCCATGAGGTTCTGCCTGAGTGGGGGAGTGTGGGCTTGGAACCGCCTAGCAACCCAGCGGTGCTAAAGACCAAACACAGGCATCTTGTCATCTTTGGAGAGCTCTCAGTTCCATGCTGTAAAACTAGAGTCTCTTCTTTATTTACCATCTATTCGACTGTTTCTTAACCATGCTTCTATCGCTACGAGGAGACCATTTCTGTTCTTCTGTTCTCCTCTCTGCTAGATGGCTCGTCACTCTCCGACCTCACATGTTACTTACATTCCTCTCACCTCTGCCCAGGTGCAGGCCTATTCAGATGCTTCCTTCTGTAGAGATGCAAACTAGGCTATGCTAAACAATATTGGACTTGCTCGAAATTAGCTATACAATAGTGGGCCGGAACTTTCGGGTGTTCCTGTTTAGTGAAACCGGAGGCTGGACCTCAAAACATTCCATAAGGGAACTATTTTGGTCCCCCACAAAATTTACCGTAGCTTTTTGACAGTATATAACCTGGAATTCTAGCATAATTAGTAAGCGTTTCAGGATTTTGTCCCTTCTTAGCCCTGTGCCCGTACTTTGCTATGAATTTCACCTAATTATAAGGAAAAGACCTGAGATAAATCCCATGTGTAACCCTACTGCCTTCTGGTTTTACTTTATCATATTATAAAGTATGCAAGGTATCTTCAGAGCTACTTCACACATCATTCTTAGCAGTCTCTTGAGATGGAAGTTGAATGTTATCAACCAAGTATGTGGCTAATGGTATGTAACATTTGCTTGCTGTCTAAGAGAAGGTTATAACTACCATTGAGTATCTTCTATTTTCCCCAACATTTCCCTTGAGACTGCATACCTCCCAGCACAAATTTTATACTGTCTTCTGCCAGCTTCTTTCTCTTACCCCTCATGCTTAAGACTACATTTAAATATAAAAACATTTCCACTTCTGCTTTATGATACTAGCTAGTTCTAAAAGTTTTTTCAGCACTGAAGCCACGAATCTGGATTAGGTCTTAAAAGTTCCCTAAACATCTAAGGAAAATATTCCAACTAAAGAAGATGGCTATATAGAACTGTGTCCCTAGTGCCTTGCTCAACCTTGATGCATGACAATACTCTATTAAGAGGATCTGTACTGAGCAAACTGATGATTAGCACTTTCAATACTAGCCAAGATTCATGAAGAGTTTGGTTGATGTAGGGTTAGAAACTTTTCCAGCATGATATGATGGACAAGTTGAAGATAAAAGGCAGAAAGACTGTTTAAGAGTATATTGATATACTTTGACACTGCTTGTCTCAACACTTATTTGACACATTATTTCCAGGAAACAAATGTTATGTTCTTCCCTTGGAGTTCAAGAAAAGAAGGGCTCACAGATATGTGAAATGTTGATGGCTATAGGGAGTTTGATATTTTGTATAGTCTCACACAACTTGAGAACTGTAAGTTTAAAGATTACAACAACCTTCAGTGTTAACACAAGTGAATTATTCACAAACTCATAATTGTTTTCCAAGTAAGTGGAAAACTACTTTTACCAATCATTTCACATTATGGCTTAGTCCTGGAGTTTATTTGAGTTATTTTTAAATAACTCAAGTAGCTTAGAAAGTGAGGGGAAAATATAGGTTATGCATTGTAAGAGTAGTGACTATCTCTGACTTTCACTAAATTATTGATAATTGCTTTTGATATAAGAGAAAATAAGGTATCATAGACTCTGCTGTAAGATGCTAAGAGTTAATGTAAAGAATCAGTTTTATAGAAAAATATAGGCTCCAAAGCTACACAGAGAAACCCTGTCTCAAAAAACAAAAAAAGAAAATTATATATTTAGAAACATTAGTAATTTTACATAGTAAAATTTGGCAACTTATAACATAAGTAAACAGATTCACAGACTAATCTGAACTATTCTGGCATAATTTTCACTTGATGTCAAGAGTTTTGAATGAGTGTTTTTATGATAGTTATAACCTATAAAGTAGAAATCTTCATGCATGAAAAGTTCTGTTGTAATTCAAAGCAAGCTCAGTAGCATTTAGATATTTGGTAGTTATTTGACATGTTGTTGTGCGTGGCCAAACAAAATCTTCGTAAAATACTACAGTTTGATGGAGACATCATGCACAAACATGGCACAAAAACTAATTTGAATATGCTTAATGTCCTAGGAATATTTCTAGATGCATAGATTTAACCTTATCACTTTAGTTTGTACAATTCATATTCATCTGTTTGGACATGGCAAATTGTACTTACTTTGAGATATATTGGGACAAAAATCCATGAAATAATTTTATATCAAAGTTCTACTAGTCCAAAATTTTCTGTATGGTCCCCAGCTAATCTTTCTGTAAATCTAATCTTAGTCACAGGTAAACATTTATAGAGCAAATATTTATTAGAGAAAATATCCATTGTTGTATTTTGAGATTATAATGTAATTATATCATTTTCCCTTCCCTCCAAAACCTCCCATACACTCTGCCCTCTCCGGGGACTCCCTTTCAAATTCATAGTTTCTTTTTTCATTAATTATTGTTAAATGCCTATGTGTATAAGCACATACATGCATACATACATACATACATACATACATACATACATACATTCCTAAAAACAACCTACTGAGTCTGTATCATGTTATTTGTATATATGTTTTTATGACTCACTGTTTGGCATTGGGTAACCAGTTTATGTGTTCTTGCTGGGGAAGATCATTTCTCCTGCTCTCAGTATTTCTGTAGATCTAAGTGCAGGGTTTAGGCCTCCTGGGCTTTCTTCCATCTACTTAAGGATATCTATCACTATGAAATTATGTTTCTTAATAATGTCAGATGTTATACCCATTAAGTCTCAGCAATATGAGCACATTTGCTTTTTAGGGAAAGTTTTTTTTTTTTTCTTTTGGGTCACATTGAAACATGGCACATTTGAAAAGAAGCAGGCCAATACATTCTGCTTTTCACATGATCAATCATTAGAATGATTTCAAAAAAAACATTTGACCACTTAAATTGAGAAGAATGAACTCTGGTAGACCCTACAATGCTCAAAACTTATTTGTGATAGTCTTAAAATCTTTGGAATGTTGTAAAAGGACTGAACACTTGTTTATGCAGTAAGTGTCCCGGGTTCAGAGAGGAACTGCTACATAATTTTTAACAGTGTGCAAGAGGTTTATAAGAATTAAAAAGACAATTATTCAATTAGCTCTTTCATGTATACATTTATTTTCCACTTTTGTCATAATAAGATTATCCACAATCTTTGTGCTTTTATTCAGAAATGAACATGATAACACCCATTTTGCAAAGCTGTGAGGATAAAATTCAGACATTTCAAGTAGCCTAGCAAATCACGAGTGTTGTGATAAATTCAAACACTGATTAAGAAAAATTTGTATTTACATTCTTTAACATGTCATGAGCTCATATAACATATAAGCATCTGTATAAAATATACAAGAAACTGAACCCCTGGAACAATGCAGAAGACCATGGAAATTCTGAAGTCGCTTTGTTTCTAAGAGAATTCCAAAACACATAAAAATAAAAAGGCATGTAAATATCTTTTTTTATAATTTAAAGAGTACTTTATTTTTCTGTAATCAAAACTACGTAAACCACATAAAATCTTACATGTTTAATATAGTGTGTCACCCATGTATAATTGGGAAAAATAAATTTAACATTTTGAGAGCAACATGGCTATTAATTTCTGTACAATGCCAACTCAACATGGTAAACTGGGATACTTCATTCCAAACATGGTAAGAGCTATAATGTAGACATAACTGGGAACACAGAAGCTGTTCAGTTAACTAAAGTGTTGTATGATTTTAAATACACACGGAAGATCTGGTTGATACACTCCACTCCTCGTGTTGACACTACAAATCAACCTGGAACACAGTTAAGCTGACACTTCATTAAGAAAAGCTCCATCTTTTTGTCATAGTCTTAAAAGCATCTTTTACTTGTTTGTTTCTAAGTGTATAAATGAAGGGATTCAACATGGGTGCAAGTGAAGTGCTGAGCAGAGCTATCCCTTTATTTAAAGCAACTCTTTCCTTTGCAGATGGCTTCACATACATGAAGATGCAGCTGCCATAAGAAATGGACACCACAACCATGTGTGAAGAACATGTAGAAAAGGCTTTCTTTCTCTGTTGAGAAGATGGTATTCTCAGAATCGTCCTGATGACGTGTGAGTAGGAAAGGCTCACTAACACCAGTGTGACTAGGAGTGTCAAAATGGCAGAGAGAAGTGCCATCAATTCTATCACATGCGTGTCTGTGCAGGAGAGCTGAAGTACAGGGAAAACATCACAGAAAAAATGATCGACAGTGTTTGTTGCACAGAAATCAAGCTGAAGCCCCATGATGAGAGGAGGAAAAATTATAAGGAAACCAGACAACCAGGAAGCAAAGACCAGCAAGTTGCAAATTCTGCTGTTCATGATGGTCATGTAATGTAGGGGTTTGCAGATGGCCACGTAGCGGTCATAGGACATGGCAGCCAGTAGAAAAAATTCTGTTGCCCCCAAGAGAATAGTGAAAAATAGCTGTGCTGCACAGTCATTATATGAAATGGTTTTATCCCCCGTGGCCATACTAACAAGGAATTTGGGGATACAGACAGTTGTGAATGAAATTTCTAAGAACGAGAAATTCCGTAAAAAGAAATACATGGGTGTCTTGAGATGAGAATCCAGTAGCGTGAGTGTGATGATGGTTAGGTTCCCAGTAACGCTCAGCATGTATGTGAGAAAGAGAAGCACAAAAATGACCACTTGCAGTTGTAGATCTTCTGTTAATCCAAGAAGGATGAACACTGTCACCGTTGTGTGGTTCTTCATAGCTAAGTTCTGATTGCCCATAAAGGGAAAAAAAATAGAAATGAAGGAAAAAAATATGAACAAGATAAGTGAAAATCCTTTAAGCATACTAGTATTCACACTTAAATAACCCTCAATAAGTGCTATTCTCCAGTAGTAGCCTGTATAATTTTTCACATATATTTTTTTAACCTGGTGTCTCACTAAATAAGTACAAGTTTTTTGTTGTTATTCATTTTACTAAAAGTTCATAAACTTAAGTATTACATATCAATATTTTGTTCAATAGACAAAGTCATTTAGGTATAAAATCAAATATACACAAAATTAACATAATATTTAAATTTGTATTTCTGTATTATACTTGGATCCTTCTCAACATATTTATCTTACATTACATTGTTGGTGATAATGTGGTGATACATTCCTCATTGTTCAACAAAAACGGCTGCATTAATTACATTCTTCCTATAAACTTTGTTAATTTTTTTGTGTAAGATTTAATCAGCAAACTCTTAAAGGAAACACATGGTGAACTTCATATCTTTAGCTGAGATCAAGTAGAATTTTAATAACCCCATGAAGCTTCTGAAAGCCCTGTGCTTTGTATCTTCATTACCATTTTTCTTCTGCCAGAATTCTGGCTTGTCCTGAACTTGAACTCGCTTAATTTTTTCTGTGACATCCTCATATTTTTGTAATATGAATACTATGTTTTACACATTTCCTACTAGTATGGATTTTGATGACAAACCAAAATTGTAAGTAGCTCACTTACCTTGATTGTTCTTTTTTTCTGATACACATATCCTGGTAAGTAGAGAACATATTTTCATTTTCAGTGTTGTATTCATTACATAGCATGTTTTTCTGAATATTCAGGCTGCATAATACAAAATAAAACATTGGATATCTCCAGTAGTTTTGTTAGTGTCATCCATTGCTTTGCCTGCTGCTCCCCACTCATAGTATGCCTCTTCCCTTCTCTGTGTTAGTCACAATCCTCCTCAATGTTCTTTTTCACTTAGAGTACAAAGATTAAAAATTATGGTAACTTTCTGAGTAGTTTTTTTTTACTTCTTTTTTCCAGAAATACTTGGCTATTCATGTTTATCACCTGAAAAAAACCTACTCCAAATGCTTCTAAAATTTTTAGATAACAAATTGAATTATAATATTTTTATGTTTTGGAAATACCAGCTCTAGTGTGAAAAATTATAGATCTGGGAATTTATAATGATTACTAGATAATCTCACTTTATTACTTTTTTAACTCTGTACATTTTGGTTTCTTCATTTGGTCATTTTTTAAAAGTATATGCATACCTATATTCTAAACATATAAATATAATCCTTATTATATTTGTACACATGAGTGAGAGATTCTGAACTTCACAATCTATCTTAAAGATCAAATACATAGAAAAACTTCATTCTGTGAAATGAGTTATATATGGTGGTAAAGTTCAGAAATTGTCTACACTCGAGTGGAAAATGACACATCTAGTACAAATTGACTTTTATATAGAAAAGGTACAAAATTGAGTGAGAAAGGAAGAGGGGTGGATCTGGGAAGAGCTTGGGAAGTGAAAGTGAATATGATCAAATCTTATCATATGAAATCCTCAAAGAACTATTAAAAATACATCAAAAAGAGCATTTGACTTCTTTTTAGTCCCAATTAGTGTATCCGTCTATCAATATGTGTGTGAGAAAGGAAAGTAGTCAAAAGTCTGAAAACAGCAAGATTTGGCAAGGTTACAAAGTAACCCCTCCCCTCCCTGCCCCTTCTTTGTCTCTCTCTTTATATTTCACTGAATATGACAACTTTGGAAAAACTCCTCATGCCTATCACAGACAAAGAGTAACACATATTTTGACTTAGAAGTTGCACTCCTGTCATACTGTCAATGGCAATGAATACTAATGTCTACCAGCAGCCATGGACAAAACAATCTTTTAGACTAATGTAACATTTCACCAATAAAAGAACTGTGTCTCAGTCCTAACTAGCATTATGATATAAAAGCAAGAATGAACAATTTACTGCTATCAACAACTATATCACACAAGGAACACTCAGTCTTTCATTAAGATCGTTCTACTTCTATGCTGCTTCCAAAGCCACATACTAGTGTAGTCAATAGCAGGTAGAGGTTTAAGGCAACCAGAGAGAATTCAGACTGAAGGAAGACCGGAAGTTATCCATGACATACCAGACAAAAGGGATATTAGTTAATGTACAACGATAATGCATGTGCTTCTTTTTTTGCGTGATCTTTTCACTTTTATTTTCTTAAAGAAAAATGAGATAATTTTATTTGTGTCTGGAATTTAGCTTAAATGTGAATTTAAATAATAAAGAGCTATTATTATAAACTATTTAGCAGCATTAGTGTGCTTCTTAATTCTATAACAAAGTATTTGCCAGTTGACAGTAAAATAGTAGTAAATATCACCTTGTCCTCTGTGTATTGGTGGCTGGTTAGGAAATTCAACAGTAAGATAAGAGATCCTTTTAGAATATGAAAGTGTGTGGAAATTTAAACTTATTTAATTAGTATAACTGCTTGATAAATATGAAATAAAGCTTCTCAAACTCACAATGAGCTTTTTCCCCTGCCATATTTTTAACATTTACAACCATCATGAATAATGGAAGCATAGGAATTACAATTATCAGGTGAAAAGCATTCATTTAAAAACAGTTGTATTTATGCTGTGATGAGTATCTATCAGAAACATGGTTGATTAAAAATTAAGTATCAGGTCTCATAGTGCAATTGATGTCTATAGTATAACTTTAAAAAGTATACATGCACATTATAAAAATCAATTCCAGTCTTACATTATGCTATTTTAATAAATATAACTAATTTTCTTTTACTTGGTTTGTAACTACTTAACAAGACTAAAACAAAGCCATATTTTCCAAACCTTAGTGGTTTCTGTGATAATTTTATTTTCAATCATCTTTTTATGTAAATCCCAGAATAGAGGAATTTTCTGAGAGTTTCATATCCAGTGTATTGTACATTGCTTTAGCACATATTCCTGTCTTGACTTCTAATCCAGAATTGCCACAGTATCAGATATACACGTTTTCAGTACAAAGGTTTCAGCATGACAGAGTCTCTGTAGTGGAAGTTCACCTTGCCAGTGAACTTGTATTAGTGGCCATATCCTAGTCTCATTGACTCTCACCTTGCATGATTTCTTGTTGAAGAAGAATTTCTTCCACACTATTGAGGCAGAGGCAGGTGAATCTCTGTGAGTTCGAGGCCAGCCTGGTCTCCAGAGCAAGTGCCAGGATAAGCTAGTTCGCTACACAGAGAAACCCTGTCTCAAAAAAACAAAAAAAAAAAAAAAAAAAAAAAAAAGAAAGAAAGAAAGAAAAAGAAAAGAAAAGAATTTCTTTTAAAACCTGGGGCATAAACTACTTGATTATTCATAAAATATATTTTATTTAGATGGAAAAGAAGTTAACAGAAATTTTATACTTCCTTCTTTCTAGCCAATATGATGGGCATTAGCTTGTTTGGTAGATTTTAAGATTACAGGAACTGTAATCCTTTTGTACACTGAATCACCTGTCTCAAGAGGCTTCAAAGGCTTAAAAATTAACATGAGAAGAAAGAAATTCCCTGGAGACTGTTGTTCTAGCATGTTAAATATATTAAAAGTTTTATTGAGGGAAGGAGGCTTATAATCCATGATCATGTTTGAGTACTTTATGTTATAAACATAACTTAAGCCCTCTTACATTTCCCCACAAAACATATTTCAAACCAGAAAAATGAAATATAATAATGAATAGTGTGGAAATACAAAAAGGCATTACTGAAACTTTGAGTTATGATACATTGAACCAACAGCTATTGTATCTCGATAGTTAAGCCTTTGAGGTAACCCCAATGACTTAGGGAATCAGATGTGATATCTAGAAAACCAAGGCATGTCAGCACTGACAATGAAAAATGAGAGTGGATACCCTAATAGTTATCAGAGAGCTTTTATCCAGTAACTGATGGAAGCAGATGCAGTGATCCACAGGCAAGCCCTGGGCCAAGCTCCGGGAGTCCTCCTGAAGAAAGGGAGGAGGGATTGGAGGAGCCAGGAGCAGCTGGGTCATGATGGAGGAACCCACAGAGACAGTTGACCTGAGCTCATGGGAGCACATGCGCTCTGGACCAACAGTTAGGGAGCCACCATGGGACTGACCTAGGCCCTCTGCATGCATATGATAGTTGTATAGCTTTGTCTGTTTGTAAGGCTCCTAGCAGTGAGACCAGGACCTGTCCCTGGCACTTAGCTGGCTTTTGTAAATTTGTTCCCCATGCTGGATTACCTTCCAGCCATGACACAAGGGGAGGATTTTGGTCCTGCCTCAACTTGATGTTCCATGCTTTGTTCAAGCTCATGAGAGGCCTGTCCCTTTCTGAATGGAGACAGAGGAGAGTGGATGGGGAGGGTAGGTAGATGGGAAGCAGGGAGGGAGGGGGAGGGAGAAGGGGAGGGAGGAGAAATTGCAGGAGGGGAAACTGTATTCCCTATGGAAAATAAATGAAAGAAATGTTATTTAAATAAAATCAAACAAAACAAATAAATAAAAAACAGTAGCTAAGGATAAACTGGGATCATCCAGCAGCTGATGGAAGAAGCAGACACTCACAGCTAAACACTGAGCTGAACTGAAATCCAGTGCAGAGAGGGAGGAGTGATGAGCAAAGGGGTCCAGACCAGGCTGGTGAAACCCACAGAAACAGCTGACCTGAACAAGGGGGAGCTCTTGCTCCCCAGTCTGATAGCTGGGAAACCAGTATGGGATTGATCCAGACCCCAAGAATGTGGGTGTCAGTGAAGAGGCCTCAGAAATCTATGCAGCCTCTTGTAGTAGATCAATACTTACGCCTAGCATAGGAACGAACTTTGGGAGCCCATTTCACATAGAGGGATACTCCCTCAGCCTAGACACACGGGGGAGGGCCTAGGCCCTTTTGCAAAGAATATGACAGACTCTGAAAGACCCCCCATGGAAGACC